CCTGCTTACCTACCTACCTACCTACCTACCTACCTACCTACCTACCTACCTACCTACCTCCCTGCCCACCCACCTACCTACCTACCTACCTACCTACCTACCTACCTACCCTACCCACCTAGCTGCCTGGCTACCTGCGCGTTTGGATGTGCGGGTGTAGCATATTCATGTACAGATGTATGCAAGCATGCGATGAACGTATGCATGCATGCATGCATGCATGCATGCATGCATGCATGCATATACGCTCCATATACGTGTGTATGCATGTTTGCTGTATTCATGTACATATGTATGAACGTATGTATGCGCTTTTTCGGCGTAGTGGATGCATGCTGAGCTATTGTCGTTCCCCACATATTTGCAGATGTTGCAGTATACCGTATACCGGTTTAGAGTGCGGTGATGCTCTTGATGTTGGTAATGACCACGCGAGGAGGATGTTTACGATTATCGCAGTGATGGCAGTGCTGATGATGGTGATGACAATGACTGTTCTTAGTTCGTAGTGTCGCTTCTGACTCATGCTCTCACCCGCACACATACAGTGCCATGCATGGATGCGAGGTGTGTATGCTAGCAGTATGCGTTCGGGACTTCTGGCTGGCAGATGCTCCCCTAAACCCTAAACCCTAAAACACAATACCAGGAAAAAAGGTCCTCCAAAAGGTCTTCAAAAAACAAAAAGCAAGACCAGCGTGTCTTCTCATGCAGGTCCTCCTGTCTACAGATTCGTCTTGGCACCTTAGCCTCGGCTGGAGCCAGAGGACCTCTGAGTCTTTGCAGTGTGCATAGACACGAAGAACGGGGCTCCACAGCCTCTTTGTCAGGTTTAGGGGTGTAGGGGTTTAGGGTTTAGGGTTTAGGGGTCTTTGCCATCGGTTGGGTAACAGTTTAAGACAGGAAGCATCAGAAGAAGTACGAGCCAAAAACCTTACCAATAAAAGGTTTTTCCCAGTGCATCAAAACACGAAACCCTGCAAAACGACACCAAACCACCCCCAGAACTAAACTTGCAGGGGTCTTCATGTGTACATACTCTTGATGAGGAATAGACATTCAAAATCTCGTACTGCCCCAACCATGAACTAGAGCTCTAGACGTGCAGCTAAGAGTTCGGGTTTAGGGTTTAGGGTTGCAGCCTAGGCGTTCGAAGCACGAACCGGCTGGAGTCTGTTTGAGCCCCTTTCATAGCTTTCTCCCTGGTTTCAAGCAGTGGCAGAATAGGCTATAAAAGTACAGAGACTAGTATAAATTTGATAAAGGACTGTCACAGAATCCATTCCCCAGCAAGAACCCGGGAGTTTGGGGTTGCAGCCCGTGGACAACCTGGACTCTGCTGTCTCACAGCTTGACAGAGACGGGTGGACGAGGAGTTGTGACCCGTATATAGGGGTCTGAGTAGTACTAATATTCCCATAGAGCCCTTAGTCATAGTTAATACACATCTAAGCCCTAGGCGAATCTTCAGGCCCCTATAAGAACTTGTACAGCAATCTGTCTCTCAATGCATCCTTGCCGAATGGTAAGCATGCCAGGTTTCGAAATCACAGTCGCAAAGACTTAAAGCCGAAAGCTTGTGCCATCCTCTCAAAGCCAAGGCGCTCACGCCATAGTAAAGCGTATAGAAGCCTGAATACTTGTTTCCTTAGGGTTTAGGGTCCGGCATCAAGTGCCTCAAAGGGGAAGACCGGGAAGACTGCAACGACACTACAAGTGGCAATGGCATGTAATGGCCCTGATCATAGCAACAATAAGATACATGCAGTGAGAGGCACCTGAACTACTCAAATGCGCAGTAAGAACGACCCATTTTTCGAATGTGTAAGGTCGGCGGGGCCAGGAAACCCAAGCGGAGAATTACAAGTAATGTAGGTCTGAAATATACCCCAACACCCGTGTCTACTTAAAGCAGCTCCGTTGCCCCCTAAACCCTAAACCCCATTCCATTGTCAGGGGCTTAGGGTTTAGGGTTATCCAGGAACTATGTTAGCCACCCTCAAGCTTTCGACATCGCCGTAGCCGGAACATGCAGTCACATCCTCTTGGTAACGCCCCTGAGCCCCCGACCTCGATCCCTAAACCCTAAAACCCTAAACCCACATGATCATGGGATTTACTAACTTCAACGGTTCCTTCAAGTCATCTATGAGGGATCTATAGAGGTTTAGGAGTTTACGGATCATGAGACTGAGGGAGTGGGCTGCAAGATACATGGGTTTTGGGGTTTGGGTTTTAGGGTTTTCGGAGTTTAGGGTTGGGGTCTTAGGGTTTAGGGTTCAGGGTTTAGGGTTTAGGGTTCAGGGTTTAGGGTTCAGGGTTTAGGGTTTTGGGTTTAGGGTTTTGGGTTTCGGGTTTAGTTTTTTGGGTTGAGGGGGTTTGCCTGAGCCTAGACCCCTGCACCACCCGACTCCCCAATCCGAGATTCCTGAACTCCCACACCGAAACCCTTATAACACCCTTATAGGGGTTTAGGTTTAGGGTTTAGGGTTCGGTGATCCGAAACTCTTGCAGCACCCTCATAGAAAAGGTGAGGCGGCAAAACTGAAAAAATCTCGTCTCTTCCTTTCCGTCTAATAAAGACCCTAAGCCCTAAATCCCAGACCCTGAACCCCCATCCCAGGGCCCTAAACCTTACCGCCGAACCCCCAAAAAGGCGTGTCCTCTTCCTTTCCCTCTAAGAAAGATCCTCAACCCTAAGTTCCCCCTAAACCCTAAACCCT